GAGAGAATCCAATTCCTGAGAAATGCTATGTTTACTATCTCGTAATTCCCGGTGGCACATGCTTCATCCAACTCTCCTTCGCGCACATTCTGGCCCCAGTACGTGACCATTCCTAGTTCCTTTGCAGAGCTGAAGTGAGACAGCAGCAAGGACAGAAGGAGAAGGATGCAACCTTGTATATTGGAAACCATGGCGGACGGATTGGAGCAAAGTAATGTTTTTTTTTTTTTTTTTTTGGTTTAGAACAAGCAACAGAAACAACCTATTTATAAAGAGCTAGGGCTCGGGTCATTTAACATCAAATAAGTTCTTTTCCATGTTTTAATTTTCAGTTTTAGCTGTGACAAAAGAACCTTCGGATACGTGGTTGCTAGATTGATCATATTCCCTATATCATAAGAGAGTATCGCATGAGCTAGAAGATTTACATGTGACGCGTGTTAAAGTTGAATTTTGCAGTCATTAATTATTGGCTCTGGGAACATAACAGCTACAGGCTAGAGGACCATGCCTGGATGCTTGCGATGTTTAATTCAGAATGTGGTCACAATATGGTGCCGCTGATAGGTGAGTCTTTGTAACGTCAGTACTTCAACAACACTCACAATATAATCAGGTCCAGCTCTGAATGTATTATTAAGTACTCATATGAGATTACAGAGCATACGCATGGGAGAACGTAAGGCATGTAATATGCGGAAATATAATCTCAGATGATGCAGAAGCTTAGACAGAGAGAGAAGGGGGGGAGAGAGTACAGAAAAAGCTGTGAGAGAGAGAAAGGATCCCAAAATCATTCCACACACGTCTACCCGTTTCTGACCTCCATATATTATTCTGCACCCTCCAACGCACGCAACTTCCACGTTTTCTTCCGCATCTTCACGCTTCTGCGCAATGCCTCGGGCCTCTGCATATCTGAAGGGCCTCCATTTCCTAAGCCCATACACTCCGGAGTTACAGTCCCATTGTGGCTGTATGCGTGAAGCTCTTTCACGACAACATCACATATGGTAGTTCACTAGTTTGCACTGCCTTCAATGTCAAAGTCCATGCCATTGAGACAACATTTCCTGGTATGCTTTCTAGCAGCTAGATTGATCCTAATCCTATGCAAGAAAATCTTGAGCAATAGAAGATCTATTTATAGCTCTTCGTTATCAAGGACGAAGCTTAATTTGTCACTGATTGTCTCAACTACGATTTCCATTCACTTCACATTCATCGTAAATCAACCATCAAATTTGCGGTTAGCAATTCAAATGTAACTATTTTTTTTATATAAAATACTACCTTTGGTCTTTAATATAAGAGCTAGTTTGATTTTCAATTTGCATTGGTCATAAATATAATATCTCAATCCACTTTAGTTTGTCTCTCATATTTATTCATTTTTTTAAGATAATCTTTGTAATAGTTGTACATGTTAAAAGTTTTATCAAACATTAAAACTAATACACTTAATTAGTAAGGATATTTTAGGAAAAACAACACGTATTCATTACAAATAACTGAACAAATTTTTTTAATATACTCAAATTAGTCAATCAGTACAGCAAATAGTATATATTAATCTCATCCATTACTAGAAATCCAACGATCTAGATCTACGTGAAAATAGTGTGCTGGTGGGAAGGACTGCAGGGAAAAACTTTTTTTGTTGATTGCGATTCTAGGGCATGAAGCAACAACGACCGATGAGAACGTGACAATTGGGTGTGCCTCTTAACGTACTATTGGATAGCTTGTAATAATTGCCTTTGTCTTATTGCCAGCTGGTTTACAAAGTGATATCCTTTGGATATTGCTTCGTTCATCAATCCCCCCGGGCCGCAAGTTTGCACCCTGCCGGGTGCGTATGTTGGCAAATAGATAATGCACATCGCGAATAAAAGAGTGTTTTGGGTAAAACCAAAACATAACTGAAAAATAATTTTTAGAGAATAAATTTTAAAAATGGATTTGAGAAAAATAAATTTATGAAAATCTTTTAAGAAATAAGAATGTTTGGATAGTTATTATCAAAATTACTTTTATATATACAAATTACTAAAAAACATAAATTAATATGATAATTACATAAAAGATAGATTTTATAATATATTTAATTGAAAGAATAAAATGCTCATAATATATTTTTTACCAACATAATTAATAATTACATAAGATGATATAATTATAAATAATTAATATGTGTATTATATTTATGAGATAATAAGATTAAATATGTTTATAAAAAATAATTGCGGAATGTCAAAGTCATATTATTGTTTAGATATACTCTGGACAAGTATAATCATATTCTCTAATTTGAGCCACAAGTAGAATGGATTCACTTCTCATGAAACCATGATTTTGAGATTCAAAACTATGGTTTTGGCGCAAACTATGATTCAAATTATTTTCTAAAATAGATACTGTTTGGGTGACATCCCACTCAAATCATGATTTTACCTCACAAACCATATTTTGGGAGCACCCGAGCCCTAAGTCAAGGAATTCTTAGGTAATGGTACCTCACCTGTACACTAACCGATAAAAACATTCCATTTGGCCAAGTTCAACCTACGTAGTAGCTTATGTGTGAATTTTCAGATTTATAATTATTTAATAATTTTTTAAAAAGGTCCTTTTTTTTTTTGAATTTTCCAACTCTCTTTTTGAGGCATTTCTTTACCCCATTTTCTTTCTCTCTCTTATTATCCGCAACACTTCAGCATGCTCATCTTCCCCTCAGATCTATTGTCTCTCCTTCCTGCTCCTCATCCCTCTCTATTCAATCCACCAATAAAGCAAGGCCTGAGACTTTGGCTTTCATCTAGCCTCCAACAATATTCATCGGTTTGCAAGCAGTAACGCTGAAAGGGGGAAAACCACTTTATACTCTATAGATGGGCCTTCACAACCAAAAGCACTCAAGCATATACAAGATACGTTGGGTGTGAGAAAAGAGAGAAGAAAGAAGATGGTTTGAAAGAAGATGATGGTGGTGAAAGTGTGTGATGAGGTTACTATTCCTGACCAAACAAGCTAGGTAGACGGGAAATTGACCATGGTCACCTGACCGGTCCAGTCAGCAACAAAAACTGGTAGGTGGGTTGACCGATATGACTTGTTCAACTCAGAAGAAAACCGAGTTAACCCGACCGATTTGATGGGTTAACCCAGTTGTGTGTGTGTGTTTTTAAAGTTATTTTGATGCTAAAAAATATTACTCCGTGGTCCTATTCATAACGCATTTTAATATATTTCACACAAATAAAAAAAACCTTAAAATGTATTAACTTTCCATTAACATATAATAATTTTCTAATTTTACTCATATTTAATATATACACCTTTCAAAAAAAGATAATTACCTACACCATAATAAATAAAGGATAAAATAGATATTCACACTGAAAATTTAATAAAGTGACTTATAAATAGGACAAATAAAAATCTTCTCTCCCTGCCCTATAAATAGGATCAGAGGAGTATTATTTAGTGACTAATTGATTGTAGATATGAGTATTTTGTTGTCGTAAATCTATCTGGATATTTTTTTTTCGAATGAATATTTAGTAATTTGATAATATGATACTGTTGATGTCAATTTATCAAGAGAATTGTAGATAAAATCGAAAAGGACAATGTAAGTATATGATTATTTTGTCAGAGATTTTAGAATTAAATTAATATTTAGTCTTTTGGGTGGCAGGATTAGAATTTAAACTAATTTTTAATTTTTTTATTCCTCCATGTTTCGACCAATGTTTTAAAAGCCGGATTCAGACATTGAACTGGAAAAAAAAACTAACGTCATGGTTCAATCGGTCGGATCGGTCGGATCGTTAACATAATAATTAAATTAAAAATAATATTATATATCTATATAATGATATATGTGAAAAAAAATATCAAATCATTAAAAATTTTAAAAATAAATTTTCTAAATACATATACACATTTAAATTATGTTAGTCATTTATATTTTGGCAAAAAAATCGTTTCATATAAATTTTGAATAAATTAATTTATAGCCAAAAAAAAACACACACACACGAATATGAACATACCTCTAAGAAGTTTTTGTAAACGGAAATGGAAAACATGAGATTTAATATTAATATGGTCGTATGATAACCTAAAAGGCCTACTTATTTATGCTCCCGAGGTGCATTTATGTGATCTTACTTTTCAAAGAGCATGTGCTTAAATCTCTGTGCAACTCACCCTTTTACCCGTTGGACAGTGCCTCATATGCTTGGTATCCAGCAACCCCGTTTCATTTTAACAATTTCAAAACTCTCCCGACACCAGTTCCAGCGACCTTCAGGATTCATTCGGGTTCTTCTTCTCGGTTAGATCAAGTTTATCTCCTTCTTATAGTTTTTCTTCCCTTCCTTTTCCTTTTGTTACTTCTTTCTTCCTTCTACCATTTCTTTTTTTTTTCCCTTTTGCAGTCTATCAGTTTTCTTCCTTCCCATTTCATCTTCACTTTCAGCTCACAATGTCAGACCCACTCCACCTCTAACCTGGCCGGCTTTTAAAAATCCGTTCCGGTTCGCGGCTCAAATCCGGCTTCTGGCTCAAAAGCCGGTTCAAGACGGCTCAATTCGGTCTAACCTCTCAAACGGTTTGAACGGCAAAAGGGAGCCGTTGATGCTTCCGGCTCACGGTTTGACCGGTCCAACCGTCTGGTCTGGTCCGGGTTTTAAACCATTGGTTTCGACCTTGTTTTAACTCTAGCTTACACACTAACTTTTTACCCACTATCTCGACCTATTCAGAGACCCGCCTATTTTTCAATACCTTGTTATAAAGCACTCAAGTCAAATCTTAGCAACGTTTTGGGCAAAAAAAAAAAAAGCATAAACCACAAGATCGATTAAACTTTTAGTTGTAGATAACAAATTGAGTAGAATCAAGTTGTCACTTAAGGATCGAAGGCACTAGCCTTCTACACAACTTATTCCATACACGATAGTAGCTAGAGAGGCTGCAGTCACGCACTACTACTAAGATAAAACGCGATACAGAACGTCGGAGGCAGATTTCATCATGGCAACCAACGGCGCACGGACAATCTTAAGAGCTGCAGGGGCAGTACAGTTGATTTTACCACTGTACCCGGATAGATAATCGTAGTACCTGCTCCATAACATAACCCCACCAAACTTGGGAGAGGTTTCTACCTGCGGAAGAATCTCCTTGTTGAGCACATCGATCGGCACATAACCACCGGCACTACCATTTGCAGCGGGAGACGCCGGGAGGCCGACATAGAACTTGGTGGCGGTGTATGTGGTGGTCCACTGGTTCCATGAATTGATAAGTTTATGAGTATCTCCATCATCTGTGTATTCGCAAGGAGGGTTGTTGTAGAACTGGATCCAGATGTAGTCAAAGAGGCCAGTTCTCATGGCGGAGTCTAAGTAGTAATCTGGGATTGGACATTGTGGTGCTGCTGATAAGTAAAACTTCTTTTGCTGGGTGTATGCGTAAAGATCTCTAAGAAGGATATCCCAGTATAGGTTTGTACCAGCTCGGATGTCAAAATCAATGCCGTCTAAGGCCACCAGTCCCAAGGGACCTATGGCTTGGCCACTGAGGTAGTGGGTCCAGAGGTGATCTGCAAGTTCCTTGGCCTCAGCAGCTGAAGCCAAGGTATATTGCGAAGAATATCCTCCGAGAGAAAGGAAGATTTTGATGCCCAGGGCTTGGCAATGGGCTATTTGGGAGGCATATCCGGTGCAAACAGGCTCACCGGATGGAGTGTTCCAATTACAATGCCCTGAGAGGTCTATCTCTGGAGGTTGTCCATTGTCGAATTTGTTCAAGAATGCTATGTTGATTATCTCGTAATTTCCGGTGTCGCATGCTGTGTTCAACTCTCCTTCATTCCTATTCTGTCCCCAGTATGTGACAACTGGGCAGCCATGGGAGGAGCTCAGGTGAGAGAGTAGCAACAGGGATAAGAGGAGGATAGTGATAAGAGGTTGTGTTTTGGAAGCCATTAAAGTAGAGAGGCTGAGAGAAGCCAAGGCAATTATGTGGTTTCTTGCTGTAGGAGGAGCTATAGAAACCACCAATTTATAATGGGCTAGGTTCAGGGGCAGTAGCGTCAAATTCTATTATTTTTAACTCATTTTGAGGCAAGGAAATATATATATATATATATATATATAAAGTTGTGGCTGTCTATAAGCAACAAATGGGTGAGAAAATTGAGGGGAAGTATTTACTCGGCACTTCTAGTATATTTTATATAGATAAAACATTTTAAAATGTATTAATTCTCTGTTAAAATATAACATTATTTAATTTTACCTATATTTAATATATACATCTTTCAAAAGAGATAACTACCTATACTATAATAAATAAAGAACAGAATAGTATATTCATGCTGAAAATTTAATAAAGTGACCAATAAATAGGACGAAAAAAACTTTCTCTCTCTGTCTTATAAATAGGACCAGAGGAGTATTAAATATTGAAGGTTCTTGAAGGTGCATGCAGATCTGCAATACATTTTCAAGAACTATTAGTATAGACTCTTAAAATTTTCTTGACGGTCAATCGCAAATTTTGGAGTCTGTAATGATGATTTTCAAGTTTTGGTCCTTCTTCTTCCCAAATTTCTCATTCAATTTTCCCAAGAATCAATCAATTAATATAGAATAAGACAGCTTGGCAGCACGTGTTTTGAATGTCAAATTTCGTAGCCACTGATTCCAGGGCAAGGGTACCAACATCGTACGTCCATAATGGAGCTCTTGGAGATACAAGTGTTCTGGTATTTGTTAAGGGAGCCGTGCATTATACAGAATCACTTGTTTCAAAGTTCTAATCTCCTATAATTGATTCTTAGTTCATCCATCAGCAATTAATATGATAGCACAAACATCTGGACTCGATCTTGGCGCAAACATCTGGACTTTTGCCAGTAGTTAATTGATTCTTACTTATCTCCAAGTAAGAACAATACAACTCATGCATAAAATTCTTATTTTATTTTTGTATTTCTATTTTTATCTTTAAAAATATGTCTATATATTTTTATGCTTATAAACGTAAAAATTTCAAATTGTTAGCAGTAGTCCTGCGAAGCAACGTGATGGGACCACCAAGGTGTAAGAGCAGCATCAACCTTCTTGTCAAATAAAATATTTAAAATTTAGATATTTATACTTTGAAATATTTGGAGAAAAATAATATGATATATATGTATGTATAAATATGATTTGTGTAATATATATATATATATATATCAACATATGATTACACCAATTGGGCGGTGCATTATTATTCTTTTAAGGCCCTTAACAGCTAGCTAATTTCTTTCTTATCCTATTCACACACCCATTAATTCAATCGCCTCCGTTTTCTATAGCACGTGTGTTAATTATAAAGGTGATGATTCTTATTAGCCACCACTTCTAATAGAAGATTGGTCTCCGCTACACTTCCCAACAAGTTCACTCAACCATGGACAACATACATAGAATCTATATAGCGAATAATTCAAATGTAACTAGCTTTTTTCATTAAATTTCAACAATACTACCTCTTCCCCTAAATATAAAACTTTATTTATAATTTACAAACGAGATTTTATATTTAGGATTGGTGGTATCTTAAACGGATATTTATTCACTTAACATTTCGGGGTACAAATAAAAAAGAGAGACGTGCCTTAAGCGGAATAAAACATTAAATCCATCCAGACCATTCGCTACAAATCTAATGAATAATGATGAAGGTTTGCCGTGCCGGTGACAATAGGTGGGAAGTATAGGAGAGAGGGGGAGAGAGACCACTTTTTGTGATGATTCGAGGACAATGAAGCAACAAGTAGCTAGATTATATATATGGGCACGTGACATTAATCTTGATTCCCCTTGAAGGTATTGTTTTGGAAGTTTCTAATAACTGCATGCCTTTAATTAATTTGCTTTAATTTAATTCCTTCCCATGTGGTTGTACTTTTGCCTGGTTCAGGAGATAAGATGATCTTATTAATTTGAAGTGGCGAATAGACCATGCATATGTTTATATGTGGGAGGATTCGATTTTTCGGGAGAAAAAAATCCTATGATTACATTTTGTTGCCCCCTTTATAGTTGGTTCCTTGCTGAGAATCGTTTAATTTGTATATGTAATTTTTTTACGTGCTAGGTTCTTTTCATTATTTGTTACTACAGATTGGGAACAGCGTAACTTGTAAAGAAGAGCGAGAAGTCATAATTTGTAGATGATTAATGAAATTAAGGTCACTGTATTTATTTGTAGTTAATATTTCTTCCCCTTAATCCTCCTAAATCCTAACAATGAGAACATAATAATTCATCAAAAACTTGTCTAAGCTTTTTTATATGATCAGGTGACCACGTGATATCTCAGTCGATAAAGTAGTGACCACATGTGATGATAATTGGTTTTTGATACACCTGTTATCGCAATAATAGTACGTATCGCTGTGGGTTTTCTTTTTCCCGTCTGCTAAGTAATTAATAGTACATTCATGATTGAGGCAAAAGTGTTCGTTTCCTGATCAATGAAAACGGGCATCTTTTTATATCCTTTTTTTTTTTTTGGGCAAGCAAGCATCTTTTTATATCTGTATGTGAAAAACAGAATCACATAAAAAAATATTTAAACATTTAAAGGTATACCTAATACTTTATATTATTTTTTTAGTTATATTTAACACTATAAAAATTAGAATATAAGGTTAAAGTATTTGATGCACACAAAAAAGGAAGAGAAAAGGTCTGGATCAGAATACTGAATATATCTGAAAGATAAAATAAGGGTGCTGAATCTATCTTTACTTTTTAATTTATATTGTGTATCTTCATAGAAATATACTTTATTTTTTTCCAAATTTTCATTGAATAATGTTTAAAAAAAATTAATGAGAAGTCTCTGACAAAACTCAATTCCCTTTCTTTTGAATTTTGATGATATTCTCTCAACTTAGAGGTGTTTGGCTTTTTTACCAAACCATGGTTTGGCAAAAAATTTGCCAAACACCCCCATTTTTTTTAAAACCAAGGTTTTGGGCAAAACCTTGGTTTTACCCAACAAAACCTCGGTTTCCAGATAAGCAGGCGGGGGTTCAATTCAGCTCACGGTTTCCAGATAAGGGAATAATTTATTGGCTTCAATTATTGGCTCTCCCCAACAAAGGCTCAACGGTCAGCTCCTATTTAAATAATAATATTTTCTTTAGCAAAATAAATCATTTTCCTAAAAACATATTTATTTATTTTATTAATATATACACACACTAATTTCTTATTATTTATATTATTTATGCCATATTTATTATGTTGCCAAAATATATATTATTAATAAATTTATTACTTCAAATAAACATATATTATGAAATATATCTTATATGTAATTATCATTTAAACTTATGTCCTTTTTAGTAATTTCTACATATCAAAAAGTACTTCTGACAATAATTATCCAAACACTCTCACTTTATCAGAATCACTTTTCCAGAAAATCTATTCTTTCAAAATCTATTCTCTCCAGAATCTATTCTCCAGAAGCTATTCTGCAAACCATGGTTTTGCTTCATCCAAACACCCCCAATGTAGGGGACAGATATTATAAGCTCTTAAGGAGTTCGTGATATATTTTTTATAAGAATGAGAATTAAAATGACAGTGAAATTTGATAAAAAGACATAAATATATTTGTTATGTTACAGAATGAAATATTCAATACTATAAAAATAAATTTTATATTTAGTAGCAGATGTAGTATAAAAAAAGCTCATTCTATGGATGTTGAAGCCCCCTCATTGCTGAAAATTGGGGTGAGTCGCAATTAACGGAATGATTTGACAATTCTAAATATAGGCGTTATGGGCTTGCCGGACCTTAGGGAAGGACATTTATTATTTTTATTATTGGGCTTTAAGTTATACTTTTGGCCCAACAGAAAATTGGGTAGCCCAGCTACAATTGAGTCCTTTAGGATGTCCACTCATATGAGCTTCTGAACTGAATAGACCCAGCATACTTTCAAATCATTAATTTCAGACCAAACCCTAATTACATTATATTGCTCAATGATGAATGCACTATCGAAGAACTCGTGATTCCATTAGGATGTATTTGAAAATGCAAAAAGTTGAGTGATTAATTTATTTTCAGTCACAACTGCATTCTTCCTTATCTCATGCGACGCATAAAAGAGATGATAACTTAAAAAAAATACTTAAAAATAAAATAAAGTTGTACACAGTCCAATAAAGTCTACATCGTGTTTGTAACGCGTAATAAACGCATAATTAGTCCAAGTGAAACTGGACCATTAAAAAGTTTAATAATGTTGTTATCCTAAAATGAAGGTTTTAGTGACAGCAAGATCACAACTTTTCAAGTCTATAGCAATGTCATTACATATCAAAAGCATTTTTAAAAAAATATTTTTACATGAGTCGAGATAATTTATTTTCATATATTTATTTTGTATATTATAAAATTATTTTCAAAAATTTAATCCAAACACCTCATAACATTTTTAAGTACATTAAATTAATGACAGCAACGATCTTCAGCTTTTTTTTTTCCCCCTTTGCCAACGAACGATCTTCAGCTTTTGAAGTCTGCGGACTTTCTAAGTCGTTTTCATTATTACTTTCATGAAAATGTGAGTCTCGCAAATATTGCTCCACTCCTACTAAGTCTCTACAAATGTAAACATAATTTTCATAAATTATAATTTATTTAAAGTGAAACTTTAACTTACAAATTAAATATATATACCACGTAAAGGTAAGATCATTGCAACTTCGTGATCACTCACTTTAGTCTAATATAATCTAATATGGCCGCGAAGCCTCTTGGAAAATCAGTGATGGAATATATAACGGCCACAAAGCTTATGTTGAAAATAATAATTTAGCCGTCACAAAAGCATGGTTACGATAGAATAAAAATTCAAAATAAAAAAAGATGGAGTCATGAGCCTACTACAAATTAATATTGAGAGAATTGCTACGGAGTTCTAAGCAAATAACATAATTTTTAAAAAGTCATAATAAACATATAGCAGCTTATAATAACAAGTTTTGAAATAGAAAATGATAACTACTTACTTATCATTAATATTTTTTTATAATTGACTTTTTTAAGGCGCATCTAATTTAAATAATCTCTGGTAAAAAAAATTTAAATAATCTAATATTGGAAATGACATGGTATTATTAGCTATGAGGTCAGGGGATTTGATAGAAACATTGCCGTCACGCGACTGAGTTAGAGGAGAATATGTATGAAAATGGCAAAATGGGTGCTAAAAATAAGAAGAGAATTTTTAAGTAATTTTACATCTTTTAAATTATTTAGATTTAAGATCACATTTACACCGTTTTGAAATGCCGTCAATAAGTTAAATGAGTTTTTTTCTTGGCTCCTGTATTAAATGATGAATTCCAACTCTCAATTGCGTGTGCGTATCTGTGAGAGAATGTTTTGATAAAAAAAGAGTGTTTGTCCAAGGAAAATATATCTTAAAAGAGCGCACTATCCGGCACCAACAAAAATGCTTAATATTATGAACTCCAAGGACATTGTGCATTTTTTTTTTTTGAATTTTTATCTTTTTTTGAAAACAAGGTGGTTGAAATAACGTGTTCTCTCCGCATTTAGTCTTCTGATGACTTGTCTTCATCAGAAAAGGGTACAAGTGATCTGCCAATGAACTCTATAAATTCGACGATCCGTTTTCTGTGCGTGACAACATCTCATGAGCTGAGAAAAATAAACAAAAGAAACCACGGTTATCTAAGAACTGTGTGTTGTAATCCTCTCTAGTTGTTTCACTTTTGAACTTGTATTGAAGCTATTTCATCAATGTGATGGGCTGTGTGTTCAAATTTTTTTATGCATTATTGACATTGTTGTTGTTGTTGCATAAAAGACTCAGTTTGGCCATTGATGGTGAAGCATTGAAGAAGTGCATCGAGAAGGAGAGGAAAGCTCTTCTGTTGTTCAAACAAGGCATCTATGCTGACTTTGGTATGCTGTCCACATGGAGGGACGGAGATGATGAAGATTGTTGCAACTGGAAAGGAGTTCATTGTAGCAACCAAACAAGTCATGTTCAAATTCTTGATCTTCGTGGTTCAGATTCACTTTATATGGCTGGTACTAGTAATATTACTTTGTTGAGGGAGCTGCAAGATCTGAAACATTTGGATTTGAGTTACAGTTATTTCTATCAAAGTGACATCCCTCAGTCTATAGAGTCATTCACCAACTTAAGGTATCTCAACCTCTCTTATTCTCTTTTTGATGGGAGTATTCCCAATGAATTAGGAAAGCTTTCAAACTTACAATATGTTGATCTGAGTAACAATTACTTGGATGGAGCTATCTCTTGGCAAATCGGAAATCTTTCCAAGTTGCAGTACCTTAATCTTGGAGAAAATTATCTTGTTGGAGTGATTCCTTATCAACTTGGGAATCTCCCCAAGCTCCACACTTTATGACTTGGTGGTGATGGTTCTGACCTCACAGTAGCCGATAGAAACAATGTTGATGCAGAGTGGATATCAAAGCTCTCTTTATTAACCAATCTTGATTTGAGTTATGTGAGTGATGTTGGCAATTCTCAGGTGTGGCTGCACATGATTGGTAAAGTTGTGCCAAAACTAATAGAATTGACACTAACCGGATGTGGCATTTCTTATGCTCATAGCCTTCCTCTGTCTGCTTCTTCTTTCAACTATTCTTCTTCTCTTGTCACCCTTGACCTCTCTGACAATAACTTGAACTCATCATTATTTCAATGGCTCTTCATCTTTAGCTCTAGCCTTCAACAGCTTTATTTACAAAATTGCAGTCTTTCATCTCATAATCTCTATTTTTTATCTTCCCATTTTCATTTTCCTTCTCTCATTGTTCTTGATCTCTCTTATAATAAATTGATGTCAGCAATGACGTTGAACTTCGGCTCCAATCTTCAGGAGCTTTATTTGGCAAATTGTAGCCTTTCATCAAATAATCTTATCTTCACATCTTTCAATCCCAACCTTACTTCTCTTGTCCTTCTTGATCTCTCTCATAATCATTTGAAATCATCAACCATATTCTATTGGATTTCCAACTTCACTTTCAATCTTCATGAACTCGACCTCAGTTACAATTCGCTTAGTGGCTTCATTCCTGATGGTTTTGGAAACACAATGAGGTCTCTTGAAGATCTTTCTCTCTCCTATAATCATCTTCAAGGTGAAGTCCCAACATCACTAGGGAATATGTGCACATTGAAGAGCTTAACACTTGCCTACAATAACTTTAGTAGGGACCTTATGAGGTTCATTTCTAATATATCATCGTGCGATAGACATTCATTACAAAGTTTGGATTTAGAAGGAAATCGATTGACGGGCATGTTATCTAATCTTTCAGATTTTTCCTTTTTGCAAGTTTTGGACCTATCTGCTAACCAACTAGAAGGAAAAAATACCTAAAAGCATTGGACTAATGTCTCAATTGGAAAGATTGTATTTGGACAGGAATAATTTGGAAGGTGTAATCACCGAGTCACATTTCAAAGATCTTTCTAATCTGTTACACTTATCATTGTCTCACAATCCACTGAGCTTGGAAATCAACACGAGTTGGATTCCCCCTTTTCAGTTACGATATATGGATATGGCTTCTTGCATGATGGGTCCTAATTTTCCACTTTGGCTTCATAATCAACATCAATTATTATATTTGGATATCTCTTATGGCAGGCTTTCAGGTTCTATGCCAGAATGGTTTTTGTCGCTGTTAAAAAATATATATTACATGAACATCTCATTCAACAATTTTTTGGTGAAATCTCAATGTTTTTCTCCTTTCCCTCATTTGTTATCAAGAAAATTTGGCCTTCAGAAATGTTCAATGTTTTTCTCCTTTCCCTGACAGACATATTGGATGCATTTAGTTATGTTGTACTTATACCTTTTTTGGGCTTGAGTTCTCTCATCTTGGTCGATTGTCTGTGCACATTGGTGAATATTTACATTTACAATGTTACAATTTCCCTAATCCTCCAGGATTTAACCGATGCATCTGATGGAATTCATTCCATTCTTTCCCCGAAGATGTGTGCATTATGTCTTTAAAAGCTAAACTGATACATATTACTGTTTTTTGTTATACATTGTGTATTTGTGAAAGCTTTATGATCTGAAAACTGAAAATTTTGCTGCCCACACAGCAAGAGGATACAACAGCGGCTGGCTTTGTATCAAGGGGTGTGTCCCATATATATGGAATTTTCTGACGATGCGGAGGAGACTTTTGCTAGAGCGCTAGGCTTGCTCCAGGTATTGTTTTGAAGCATTTGTGTTTTACACGCCTGGTAAACAAGCTATTATTGATGTGTTAAAGTTGATATTTCATACTTCCATGTAAACACCCCTTTCGCCCAAAAAAGTAAAGGAGAAAAACGAAAAAATAAAGGGAAGAAAAGGATTGCTGTACTACAATGCTTGTTTTACTCTCGTGTTTGGTCTTTTGCGTGCACTTATGATGAGTATATATTCATGGTTTCTACCTTCAGAAGCAAGGAATGGTAAAGGAAGGAGAAGAAGTGGCCCTTGTACAGAGTGGCAGACAACCCATATGGAGGTCCCAGTCCACTCACAACATCCAGGTCCGCCAAGTGTAAACAGCAACAAGAGATGGGTTACAACCACTGGTTAAGTTTTGAGCTCATAAAACAGGATAATCTAGTCTAGAGTAGCATTACGTTACCTCTTTGCCTCTTGGTGGTTTGATGTCACAATTGCTTTGCTTGCTTGGTTTAGATTGTTTCTGTTTCAATTGTTTTATTACATGATATTGTATTTGTTCTCTTATGATTTAAAATTACTATATAGGTTGTATGTGGGACTGAATTTTGTTAGAGACTGGAAAGAGCAGTTTCTTCCTTGGTTGACGGACTCGGGATCGAATTGTTATATTCTGTTGTATTTTTTCAGAACTTGATCACTGTAAGAAAGCAATCAATAATACTGAATGGATGTGATGAATTTAGAGAGCGGTGGATTTTATTTATATTACCCTGTTCTCACTTGAAACCATCGATGCATTTGTTTCGAAAATGTGGATGCAATGTCTCGTCTTTGGGAACAGTTGCGTCACGTATCTAAAGTCGAAATAATTTGACTTCATTTAAAAAAATCAACTTATAAAATCAAAATAGTACTGATCCATTGAATTTTGAGATAAAATTTGTAGGAAATTGAAGAGGTCCCACTCGAGTGAGTTAGTCTCCTTCTGTCAACGGTTCCCTCGGTGTCTCTGTAGTTTTAAATAAATTTACTCGTTCAATGAGCTTCGTAGTTGCTATTTACTTTTCCTCGCTTTTTTTCCCGTTTTGGTGACAAAGATTAAAAAAAAATCAATTTTATTTCATTAAAAGAAAAAAGGTACGTTGACCCCCGCAGCGTAATGCATATGCCCCAAGCAAAGTCGTCTTATTCTCTAAAATATTTCAATATTTTCAAATGGATTTTTTAAATTATAATTGATGTAGATGAACAACATAATTAAATTTGAAAATATGTCTTGCATTAATAAAAGGAGGGAAGTTTTTTTATTTGGTGGATATACTTCTTCCAACAATTCTCATAACCTAGAGCCCGTACGTTTTCCTTTAAAGAAAAAAAGAAAAAAAATTATATTAGAGGTACCTATATTTTCTTTCAATTTTTAATTTGGTACCTATGTTTTTCCTTAGTTAAATAATTTGATTTTACTTTTCTTAATAACATTAACTCTTGTAATTTTATTCTATTAGCATGTTTAGTCTTCATGCAAGAGGAAATGACGTTACTAGAACAAAATTAAATATTTAATTAAGAGAAAAAACATGTAAGTACCAAATTAAAAATTGGAAAAATGTATACGTCTCTTTAAAATGGTTTTCCAAAAAACAAAAAAAAAACTGGCTTAATTGAAATTCGCTTTTTCTTTATTAATAAGGTAAATAGAAATTACGCGCACAAACAATCGTATAAGTTGTACAAATAACTTCAATCTTATCAGAAACAACTTAATGCGAAAATAGTTACTATTTCATGCTCCAGCCCCTCACACGCTGCTAATAATGGAATCAGTGTATCCACTATTCTTATCATGAAACCGTGACCACAGCATCACTCCTCCGTACTTGGGCGACTTCTTGATCACAGGCAAGATTTCCGATGTCAACACATCAGCCGGAACATATCCACTTCCGGCTGCTGCCGGAGCTGCCGGCAACCCCAAAAATATCAGCCCCGCCGGCACCGAACTTGTCCATGTGTTCCACGAATTGACAAGTGTTAGAGTTATAGATATTGAGTTGATGTATTAATATGGTAGTCTACTGTTGGGCCAGCGTAGGGCCTAGAGCCCAAACAGTCTTCTTGTTGTTGGACAAAGCAGTGTACCGTGTGTATATATATTTCTCCTAGTTATCAATAAAGTGTAGAGGTTTTCTCCAGTATTTCTTGGGCTAGTTCGCCCTGTTTACATGGTACCAGAGCTGGTTATTCCCTACGGCCCAAGACCCCTGGTAGTGCAGTGTTGAGGCGGTCCAGAATTTCTCACCATTGTGAAGCCTCCAGTCCCACACGCACCGTTAAGATTCAGTCCCAAATGCAACGACGTCATTGCATTCGATCAGATCCAAGAAGATTGATTCAAGAGATCTGAAATGTGTCCCACATCTTTCCCAAAAATCAACGAGCTGACACCTTGATCCAGAAATTTCGTCTCTCAAATCTCCATTTTTTTTTCTTTCTGTCAAAAACTATGGAATAGAACGAATCTTGGACGAGCTTCGATTCAAGATTCTCAACAGGCGGTGAAAATAAACGTTGATTTTCCTTCCTGGCCTTTTTTTTTTTTCTTTCCTGCACATCAGTGGTTCAGTCTACTCTGTGGCTTGTGCTGTCAAGCAAGTTCCACCGATTTTTTTTTTGGTGCTGTCCAGATCGGTGTTTGTTCGTGGTTTGGTTTCATTTATTTGTTGCAATTTCACTAGTTTTTCTTCTTTCTTTCAACCTGTCACTTCTTGCTCATCTTCCGCTGCGATCTTTCACTTCACCTCTAAAAGAATTCTACCAATGGCAACACCAATTGATTCCAACCATCCCCTTTACTTGCACCCTTCAGACACCCAGGCAGTTACGTTGGTCCCGCAAGTTTTGACAGGTTCTGGAAATTATGTAATATGGAGCCGTGCGATGTGTTTGGCTCTCCGTGGTAAAAATAAGTTGGGATTTATTGATGGTACTTATTGTCGTGAGAAAGCCTCAGAATTTTCCCACCAGTGGGATCGTTGTAATGCGGTCGTGTTGTCTTGGATCATCAATTCTGTAGAAAAGGATATAGCTAGTGGTTTGGTGTTTTCTGACAGTGCACACCTCGTTTGGCTTGATCTTCAAGAACGTTTTCTTAAGACAGATGGTACAAAAATATTTTCTATGTACAAAGCAATTTCATCACTCACTCAAGGCACACTCACAGTGGCAAGCTATTTCACAAAACTGAAGGAGCTATGGGATGAACTTTCAGTGTTGGTTCCTCTCCCCACATGCAAGTGTTCCACTGCCCAAGAGTATAATAAAGTTGTCCAGCAACAGTGCCTATTTCAGTTCCTTATTGGACTTAACGACACCTTTCACCAAGCAAGATCACAGATACTCCTCATGACACCACTCCCTACTGTGTCTCAAGCTTATTCAATGATATGTCAAGATGAGGAGCAACGTATGATCTGTTCACAGATTCCTGCAAATCCATTTGACACTGCTGCAGCCACCATTAGAGGTGGTCGTTCTGGTAGGGGCAGAGGCAGAGGTCGCCCTCAAGAAGTATGTACTCATTGCCATAGACGGGGGCACACTCGTGATCACTGTTATGAGCTTGTTGGGTTTCCCTCTACCTTCAAAGGCAGAAAGGCACAAGCTGCTAACCTGAGTCATTCACAAGAAGAGCACAAGGATTCAAAATCCAGCCCCACAAATGGACAACAGTCCATAACTCAACAACAGTATAATCAAATCTTGCAATTATTGAAGAAGGATTCCAAGGATGAGACATTAGGAGCAGCCAATTACATCGAAGAACATGTGTCTGGTATGCTTAACGCCTTACCCCTTTCATTATGTAAGACTCATTGGATTCTTGATTCTGGTGCTACATGCCATGTAGTTAGTAGCTTAACCATGTTGGATACTGCCCATGTGTACAATGGTCCCCTTAGGAAGATTCAGATGCCAAATGGTCAGAAAATCATTGTTACACACACTGGAACAATCAACTTATCTGAGAACATAACACTTACTGATGTTTATTACACTCCTGAATGTTGCTATAACCTAATTTCAGTCTCTAGATTACCCAAAGAAATGCAATGTATCATATCTTTTTACCCTGAATTTTGTACTTTGCTGGAGATTTTAACTGGGAGATCTCAAGTGATTGGTAGAATCACTAATGGACTGTACTTAATTGGAAAAGCCTTAAGACTGGACACACTTATGAGTTTTCAATCTAGTGAGAAAAGTGAGCAACTTTCAGAATTATGGCATAAGCGTCTAGGTCATGCACCCTTAAACGTTTTGAAACACTTAGAGCCTATAAGGAAAGATATCATAGATTTCCCAAGAAATAAATGTATTGTTTGTTCTCAAGCCAAACAAACTAGGCTTCCTTTTTCTCCTTCCATGTCTAATACTTCTTCTTCGTTTGAATTGTTGCATGTTGATGTTTGGGGACCCTATAAGGATCCCACTTATAAAGGGCATCGATATTTCCTTACAGTGGTTGATGACTATTCTAAGTGTACTTGGATTTTTCTGCTGATCAATAAAAATGAGAGCATGCAGTGCTTAAAGAACTTTGTAGCCTATGTTTCTAATCAGTTTTCTGTTACTGTCAAAAGAATTAGATCAGATAATGGTTTGGAATTTGTAAATAATCAATTAAGGACTTTTTTTAATGAGAAAGGCATAATCCATGAGACTACTTGTCCTTATACACCACAACAAAATGGTGTTGTAGAGAGAAAACACAGACATTTACTAAATGTTGCTAGAAGTCTCATAATTCTTTCAGGCATTCCTATTAAATTCTGGGGAGAGAGCATCAAAACTGCTGCCTTTTTAATTAACAGAACTCCCTCTAAAAGTTTAGGGTATAAAACACCTTATGAAATTCTTCATAACAAATGCCCAGATTTGAGTTTTCTTAAAGTTTTTGGTTGTCTTGCTTTTTCAGCTACTCCTAATAATCATGATAAGTTTTCCCCTCGTTCTGAACCTTGTATTTTTATGGGTTATCCCCCAAATCAAAAGGGTTTCCTGCTGTACAATTTGAAAACAAAGACTATTTTTGTTAGTAGAGATGTCCAATTTGCAGAAGACAAATTTCCTTTTAAAGATATGGATCATATTACTTCAAGGGGGGTTTCTAGACCTGTCCAGGATTATTTCTTGTATGATACTAGTGATTTTCCTTCCCACACGGACCCTGTTAATCACCACATCAATCAAGACCTTCCTGACATTAATATAGATCCTGAAATTCCTGGGAATGAGACTAATGTTGACATTGAGTGACCTGTAAGACACACAAGACGCCCTTCTTGGCTCAATGATTATATCTGCATCACTGATACAGCTTTCATGACTCAAGTAAAAGCCAAATGTAAGTATCCTCTCCATGAATACATTTCCTATGCTCATATATCTCCATCTCACAAACATTACTTGTTTTCTACTGATCAAATTTCTGAGCCATGTAGCTTCCATGAAGCTGCCAAGGACACAAATTGGTTGGATGCTATGAAGCAAGAGATGGATGCCTTAGAACTCAATCAAACTTGGAAGATAGTGGACCTTCCTAAAGGTAAGAAACCCATTGGATGCAAGTGGGTCTTCAAAGTCAAGTATGGCCCCACTGGTAAGGTTGAGAGGTATAAGGCTAGGCTAGTTGCCAAAGGCTATAGCCAGCAAGAGGGTGTTGATTATTTTGAGACATTTTCCCCAGTTATTAAGATGGTT